CATTCTTTTTTCTTTTGTCTCCTCTGACTGCATATTTTCAAATAGTCTTTAAGCGCGCTAATTCTTCCTTCTATTTGATCAATTCTGCTATTGAAGGACTCTGATGCATTATTCAATACACCAATTGCATTTTTCAGCTCCAGAATTTCTTTTTAATTATTTCAATCTCTTTGTTAAATTTATCTGATAGAATTCTGAATTTCTTCTCTGTGTTATCTTGAATTCATTTGAGTTTTCTCAACATAGCTATTTTGAATTCTCTGTCTGAAAGATTACATATCTCTGTTTCTCCAGGATTGCCCCTTGGTGCCTTATTTAGTTCATTTGGTAAGGTCATGTTTTCCTGGATGGTATTGATGCCAGTGTTCTTCGGCGTCTGGGCATTGAAGAGTTAGGTATTTACTGTAGTCTTCACTGCCTGGGCTTATTTGTAGCCATCCTTCTTGGGAAGGCTTTCCAGATATTTGAAAGGACTTGAGTGTTGTAATCTAAGCTGTACCTGCTTTAGGGGGCACCCCAAGCCCAGTAATGCTGTGGTTCTTGCACACTTGTCAAGGTACCACCTTGATGGTCTGAGACACGATCTGGAAGAATTCTCTGGATTACCAGGCAGAGGCTCTTGTTCTCTTCCCTTCTGTTTCCCAAACAGAGTCTCTCTCTCTGTTCTGAGCCACCCAAAGCTGGTGGTAGAGTGAAACAAGCACCCCTGTGGCCTCCACCACTATGACTGCACTGTGTCAGACCTGAAGCTATCACAGCACTGGGTCTTGCCCAAGGCCTGCTGTAACCACTTCCTGGCTACTGCTATTGTTTGCTCAAGGCCCTGGGGCTCTACAATCAGCAGGTGGCAAGGCCAGCCAGGCCTATGTCCTTCTCTTCAGGGTGGTGAGGTCCCCCAGACCCCAGGTGAGTCCTTAGGTGCCCTCTGGGAATCAGGGACTAGAGTCAAAAACCTTAGAAGTCTACTTGGTGTTCTACTGCACTGCAGCTGAGCTGGCATACAAACTATAGGATGCAGTCCTTCCCACTCTTCCTCCCCTTTCCAAAGGCAGAGGAGCCTTACCCTGTAGCCACCACCACCCCAGGCCATGAAGAGTATTGCCAGGCTACCAATAATGTTCTCTTATGGCCCAAAGGCTCTTAAGTCAGCTTGTGGTGAATGCTGCCTCGCCTGGGACTCATCCTTCAGGGCAGCGGGCTCTCCTCTGGCCCAGGGCAGGTCCAGAATTGTCATACAAGAGTCAAGTCCTGGAACCAGGGACCCCAAGAACCTGCCTTGGTGCTCCACCCTCCTGTGGCCGTGCTGGTATCTAAGGTGCAAGAAAATGTCCCCACTGCTTTTAAGCAGAAGGAGTTTTGCCCCATAGCTACCCTAGCTGGTAATATGCTGAGTCTCACCTGAAGCCTGCAAGTCATAGAGGCTCACCCAAGATCCTCAATGTAGTAGCTGGGTATTGCTGCTAATTATTCAGGGCCCAAGGGCTCTTCAGTTAGCAGGTGATGAATGCTGCCAGGACTGGGTCCCTTCCTTCAAGGCAGCAGGTTCCCTTCTGGCCCAGGGTGTGTCTAGAAATGTCACTTGGGAGCTAGAACCCAGAACGAGGGCCTTATGACTCTGACTTGTGCCCTATCCTGCCATGGCTGAGCTGGTATCCAAAATGCAAGAGAAAGTCCTCCCCACTCTTCCGTCTCCTCTCCTCTCCTCTCCTCAAGGGAAAGGAAGGGGTCTCTTTTGGAGCGATGAACTGTGAGGCTTGGGGCTGGTTGAGGGGTGATGCCAGTACTCCCTTGGCTGCTGCAGTTGGTGTCTCAGTATGTCATGTATCCCTCAGTCCACTGTCTCTGGGCCTAGTTGAGCACTAGGATTTGCCTAAGAGTTACAGTCCTTATGGCCTAGACTGCCTTTCAAGTTTACCCGGAGGCATAGCGCACTGTAGCACTCCGTGGTGAGGTTTGCAGAACTCAAGTTCTGACTGCTGGGACTGGCAATTCCCGTGTCTAGGCCTGAGTTAAATGCTCCCTCCGTGGGTGGGCATCAGCTGAGTTTGGTCCAGTTTTCCTCTCTGATCCAACAGGACAGCACTGAGTTCAATGCCTCACAATTGCTGTATTTTCCCTTCCCCAGCGCCCGGAGAGGCTCTCTGCACCATGCCGGAGGGGTGGCACTGGCAATTCAGGATTACTGTTTCTATCTCTTCAGTGACTCAGCCATATGAAGTTAAAACCAGGTACAACGAGTGCTCATCTGATTTTTGGTTCTTATGAAGGTGTTTTTTCTTTTTCTTTTTTTTTTTTTCCTTTGTGCATTGTGGGGAGGGGGGGTCTTTATTCACATGGAGTGCTGTATGTGATGCCCAGGAAAAGCTCTCAGCGTGGTGTGTGCTTCAGGGTGGCTCGGGCTCCAATCTCTGCTTTCCAGTTTATCACGGGCTCTCAACTGTACATAGCCTGTGCCCTGCTGGATTCCACCTTCTTAGACACCACGTGAATCCCCATGCACTGCTCCCCTTGCCCCTTACCACCACCAAGCAGCTATTAGACACCTGAGGTCTCTGTCCTGTTAGTACCATGGGGCGGAAAGGTACGATACCTTTTTTCACCCATAAGGGTGACAGCCAACACTCCTAACAAAATACAGGTGTGCAAGACAAAAGCATTAACACATTTACTTAATTATTTGAGGCAAGCTGTCACTCTGTCTCCCAGGCTGGAATGCAGTGGTGGGATCACAGCTCACTGCAGCCTCAACCTCCCAAGCTCAGTCAATCTTCCCACCTCAGCCTCCCGGGCAGCTGGAACCACAGGCATACACCACCATGCCTGGCCAAGTTTTTGCATTTCTGGTAGAGACATGGGTCCCACTGTGTTGCCCAGGCTGGTCTTGAACTCCTGGCCTTAAGTGATCCTTCCACCTCAGCCTCCCAAAATGCCAGGACTACAGGCATGAGCCACCGTGCCCAGCCTAAAACGTTATGAAGGTGTTTTTTTCCTGTAGATAGTTGTTAACTTGGTGTCCTTGGGTGGGGAACAATGGGTGGAGCCTTCTGTTCCACCATCTTGCTCCACCTCCTCCAATTATGTGTGTTTTGTATGCATATCTGGGCAGTAGGTCATAGATTTGAAGCCTCTCATTTAAACTTTACTGTGTCTGAGAATATTTATCCTTAGGACACTTGTGTGTACATTTGTGCATTGTTGCTACAATAATTGCCTCATGGTAATTGAGAGACTGAGAAGAACAAGGAGGTAAGTCATACCATGAGGAGGATTTAAGCACAAGGGCAAGTTAGAAAAGTACTGAAGGATTTATATTTAAGGGGGAGGCTTATCAGTGGGATATGTCAAGCACATTAAGTTGTTCCTGAGTTTGCAAATATTATTCTCTGGGATTAGGCCACCGGCATTTGCTAATTGGTGCCCATCAAAGTTAGGCTTCTACCCACCCACAGGAACTGAGAGATATCTTCTTTGATGATTATATATCAAAGGGATAGATCCCAGGTCCTTGAGGAAGACTTTCCTGAGTTGTAAAACTGTCAAGAAGCTTTTATTAAAAAGAAATATCAAAGGAAGCAGAGAAAGAACTTATAATTCCAAGTTTTCTAAAACAAATGTTCTAAGAAACAAGAAAACCAGAAGTCAGGGCCTAGAGTCAGTAAGAAGCCAGTCTAAAATTCAGTCATGCTGAGGAGAACGTCAGTGCCATCTCAGTCATAAAGTTATGGTAGATGTTGATGTTTAAAAAGCTACACATCAGCAGATTAGTTTTAAACAAATATGAATGTTAGATGTTTACAGCCCTAACTTAGAATCAATCCTCCCCTCCTTGCCCCCCACTCCCTCAAGACCACCCAGTGCATCAGGATACCACAAGATGTCAGTGGTGGTGACTAGGTAAGAATTCTATCCATTCAAGAATCCTGGGGGGGAGACCTGTGCTGCCCTTGTATTTCCCGCTCTCCCAGGGGACTCTGCCTGCCCCAGTATCTACCAACAGAAGCTTAAAACTGTATTAGTACCATGTGCTTTCATCAGCTGTGCAAACTTGGACAACTTACTCAACCACCCTGAGCCTTGGTCGCTTCATTTGTAAATAAGCATAGTAAATATATACCACACAGCATTGTATCAGGAGTAAATCTGATCTGTGTATAGCACTTAACACAATGCCTGGCATACGGTAATGACCCAAGAAATGATAACTATCAGTATTTCAGTCAGTTTTCACTTGTGCTATTATATTATTCTCAGAGAATAATGAACATACTATGACACCAAATTAATAAAATACACAGAAAAGCAGAAGAAAATAAGTTAAAAGAATTATGGCTTAAATCTATTGAAATTAAAGCAGAAGAAACTATCAATGAGGCAGTAGCTACTTCCAAAGTGCCATGCCCTATCCTCCGCAACTTTACCCAATTTTCTGCCCAACTTTCCAAGTCCTGTTCCCTCAAACTTAAAATATTTTCCCACACAGATCTCAAATCTTCATGTTATTCAGCCCAAGGGTGTAATGCAATTTTTAAAATTACAAGTTTTTGTTGTATTTTCTTTTCCTATTTATCACTTGCAGCATTTTACTCCCCCCCCAAAAAAAAAACCCATGTGGGAGTTAATTGACTTTTCAGGAATCCCGTGCAAAATTCTCCCTCAAAACACTCTCCTTTGTTTGTGTCTTGGAAGCAACTCCAGAGTTTTCAGGACTTGGATTCTGCTTTAGAATTGTGCTCAGACTGTCTCCATAAGAGTGGTCCGTTTCCTCATCCAATGAATGAGCTCTGCCTGTTGGTCTGTGTGACACTCCAGTGGAAGGAAGCCAAGAGCCTATAGTAGCGATCCTGGGGAAAATTTCAGCAGCTGGGGCCATGTAATTTAAAACCTCTGAAAAGTGTGCTGCAGTCCGTGCACAGCATTAGTATAACGTGAGGGCTGAATGCAGCCCGTTCTCTGGAGAACTTCCTCACACACCGCAGCAAAGAGAAGACTAAAAGACAAACCTGGGTGCAGCCGGAGAGGTCCAGATAGATGAGCTTGTGGCATCCATTCCCCAAGTTCAGGTACTGTAAGCCTTTATCTGTGAACCTTCTGCAATAAGCCAAACTAAGATTCTGTAAGTTGTGGAAGTGCCTGAAAAGGCAAGGCAAGAAAGAGAGCAAGGAAAGTATTATACTTCAGTTGTTCTCTCAAATCTTTCTTAAGCCACTATGACAAAGAAAACTGTAAATTCAACTCTTCTTCTTGCAGATGTTCAACGTTTAACTTTACTGTTAACTCTCTACTTGTTAATTAAAGGAGACTACAGTAACACATAATTGTAATACATTTCAAGTGAAAGTACTAATAATGCAATAATCTTTGCCTAGATTTTTAAGAAAGTTGACTGGGATAAAGCTTTTTTGGTGTGTGTGAGGTGGGGGAGGCAATCACATTGTTTGGAAGTGAAACCAAATTTGCAGAGTTTATTGTTATTTTTAGGTTTTATCTCTGGAGTACCAAAATAATGTGCAAAATATATAGAAGGACAAATCCTTGGTAAACATTTAAATGGAGACTCTTACAGGAGAGTGAGGATTTGGGACAGAAGGCAAAACTGAATATAACCATGCTCTTAAAATAGATCTGATAAGCAAATGATTTTTAAAAATAGGTTTAAATATGCATGATTTTGTAACCGTTTCATTATTATAGTTAAAGAAAGACTAATTGATATGCAGAGTTTAAGCATGGATTAAGAAGACCAGTTTGCAAATAAGTGGGCAACACATGAGAAGAGTTAAAAGCAACATCAGAGACTATAAATCTCGCTGGAGTTGAAATAGATTAAATATGGTATTACCACAATGACCAAAATGAGAGCTTCCAGAAAAAAGGAGGGTAGTTAGGATGAGCCTGTACTACCATGCGAGGGCTCGCAGTTTGAGGACACTCTGTGGACAATTTTCCAAGCCCTCCGAAGCCTGGCACTTTTTTTTTTTTTTGAGACAGAGTTTCACTCTTGTTGCCCAGGCTGGAGTGCAATGGTGAGACCTCGGCTCACTGCAACCTCCTCCCTGCTTTCCCCAACCCCCCGGTTCAAGCGATTCTCCTGCCTCAGCCTCCCAAGTAGCTGTGATTACAGGTGCGTGCCAACATGTCTGGCTAATTTTTGTATTTTTAGTAGAGACGGGGTTTCTCCATGTTGGCCAGGCTGGCCTCGAACTCCTGACCCTCAGGTGATCCACCCACCTCGGCCTCCCAAAGTGCTAGGATTACAGGCGTAAGCCACCGTGCCTGGAAAGCCTGGTACTTTTTAAGAGGTCAAGGACTCCCACTACTGCCTGGTCTTCTAATAGAATTAGCAATCATGCTCTTAGTTTGTGATCTGCAACAGCTTAATAGCAAATTACAAAGCAAAAAGAATGAAAAGTGAGGAGAAAATGCTTCTCTGCCTCTCAAAATCACACAGGTGAATAAAGTTTACCTTCCCATAAATGGGAACTAAGATATACAAGCACTGACCATTAATCAGATTTTGGAAAGCACATCTATACGATATAATGATTTGCATTCCATAGCAAATTACTTGATTCAGAACACAAGTCCCGATCTGGGAATGGCTGTGTACGTGAGATTTGACAGAGCGAGGGGGAAGGTTTCGGATTCACCAGTGACTAGGTGGGCAGGGCCTGAAGGAGAAAGCAGTGCTAATATCCCAAAGACACGCCCCCTCTCTTGGGGCTGTGGAGTGGACTGAGCTGTGCTAAAGTTTTGGAAATGCGTTATCTTCCTCTCCCTTGAGTACACCCTGTGATTCAACTGACTACAATTTTCTTGGGGTAGGGAGAGGCGCACCAGGGTGTCATTTCTAGCAATCCTTCAGCTCCATAATCTGTAGAAAGGAGTTGTGAGGCAGGCAGCATGACACAATGCAAAATACACAAGGTTTCTGAATCCAGCCAAACGAGATGTAAATCCAAGCCCTGAAACTTAACTGCAACCTCCCTAACCTCTCAGAGATTGTTTTCTCATTTGTTAAGTGGAGATTAAAATACTATCTTTTTTTTTTTTTTTTTTTTTTAACGCTGATCAACTGTGGGGCCTCCAGCTTTCCTGAACCTCAGTTTTCTCATCTGGAACATGGATGTAATCTGATCTGCTTGTTCCCTTTAAAGGTGTGATGATTAAATGAGAACACAGAAATAACAGTATTATCTTCAGGGTGATTTTAACAATCAAAATCGGCAGGGACATAGTAGAAGATTTAAAACTATATGTAATATTATTGCTACTACTATGTGAAATGACAGTAACACATTAACTATTTTTATGGAGTTTGTATTATTCTTCCATTTAATGAAATGGATACTTACCTCCAAGAGTGGTGCACACAATAATTCCAAGAGTTTGAGGGATTTCACATTGAATCTATATGCCGATATACACCTATATTCAATTTCTTTAAATCCATGTGATCAGTCAACAAATATCAAAAACGAGAATTGAGCTAGGAGCTCTTAACTTTTAATGTCACAGACACCTTTGGCTTTTGGCAGTCAGCTGAGGTCTCCGGACCCCTTTCTTGGCATAATGTTTTTAAATGCATAAAATAAAATATATAAGATTACAAAAACAGTGAATTATATTGAAATATATAATTATCAAATTAAAAAATGAGTGGAATAGTAATATATGTGCTTCTTTATTAACATATTAAATAAGATTTTGTGGCAGTTCTAGTAACTGCTGTGATTGTGAAGTATCAGTGATATTTTGAAATATTTATAACAACTGAAATGTGGTAAGAATATATTTTTGATTTATATGAATAAAAATGTCCCAGAGACTGCTAACACTTCTGTAGTTTTTACCTACATTTCAATTACAGCTTAATGAAAGTAGAGATGAGTTTCTTCTTTTTTTTTTTTTTTTTTTTTTTTGAGATGGAGTCTCACTCTGTTACCCAGGCTGGAGTGCAATGGCGTGATCTTGGCTCACTGCAACCTCCACCTCCCAGACTCAGTGATTCTCCTGCCTCAGCCTCCCGAGTAGCTGGGATTACAGGTACCCGCCACCATGCCTAGCTAATTTTTTTTGTATTTTTATTAGAGACAGGGTTTCACCATGTTGGCCAGACTGGTCTCAAACTCCTGACCTCAGGTGATCCGCCCACCTCAGCCTCCCAAAGTGCTGGGATTACAGACATGAGCCACTGTGCCTAGCCGAGATGAGTTTTTTTATATCCCCCATTAAAATTCATGGAGTTCCTGAATTCTATCCCTGATCCTCTTGGGGGAATCCACTGCTCCCCAGCTAAGAACCTCTGGTTTAGATAAAAGACGCTGTTCGTTAGACTAAGTGACTCCTGGACTGAAAGTCCCTGGATAGCTCTTTTCACAGTGGAACCTCATGGGAACCATCAGTTTAAAGACAAAGCTCAGGAATCTTGAGTGGCCCTGTAGGCCTTTCTAGGGATTTACAGTTCTGCAGACTTAAAGCTGCTAGGGACGGGAAAAGTGTCAGTTGACAGCAAAATCACAGGTGGCAAATTTTGTGCAATACTGATACTCTTTATTCTGAATTTTGGCAAAGACGCGTGTCCCCTGCATGAGTAAGATCTGATTCATCATTTTCCCAGCCCACAGAACACTTGGTAATTCTAATTCTGCTTTGAGGCAATGTTTACAGCTTGTTTTTATCTTTTTCTAATTATTTGATAACTGTTTCTTATTGGGGGCTGTGAGTTCTCTCTTTGTGATTTATTTATTTTTCTGCTATTACTATAATCTTTAGAGAAATTACAATTATTATAGAAACTACAAATGTTTTTTTCTTCTTTCTTTTGGATTTTTTCCATTAAAGAATTGAAGTCATTTGTGTTAAATTTCTAACACCTGAAGGACTTACTACTAAGATGAATGGAAAATTATGTATTTAAATAAAAATTTCTCTAAAAAAATCACCAAGACAAGGCCTAGTCTATAAAAGAGGGAATTTGCATGTGGATTCTTTTGAGTTGAGTGTTGGGTTCTTTGGTTTCACAGAGGCATTTCAAGTAATAGAATTCTGCAGAAAACCTAAATGGAGTGATCTGGCCTTCTATTTACAGGGTAGACCTTGAAGTTGTCCAGTCAAGACAACAGCTTACTCTGTCTGCCCCACTTTGATGGGCACTGGTGAGACTATAGATCATGATAGTCCCCGACAATAAGAAATTTCCAAACCAACTGAAAGATCAGTTCATCTGTATAAAAAACAATTGGATACTACTCCACTATAGCATTTAAGACTCAAAGAGCAGAGATCATAATAGCTTTTCTCAGTACTGTATGCCCAGAACACCTTGCACATACGAGTTGATCAATACATGGTGAACAAGTGAATGAATGTTGTTATTAGAATTCAGGCAAAGGAAAAATCACTGTGGATTTCTGGTAGATGGCGAGACTTAAGGTGTGAAGGCCGTGGATTAGCCATGAGAAGGAGAAAGGCACTGCAGCTATAGAGAATGTGAAGCATGCAGCAATCAGATGACTGGAGTTAAGGGCTTCTCTTGGGAAACCTAGGCAGAGAAGTTTGATTGGACAATGTTAACAGAGAGTGAGGGATGAACCTAGACCTTAAGCATGTCAAAGACATGATAAGAAGATTGTTCCAGGATGACACTTCTTGTAGCATGAGACACAGCAGATTGAAGGGAGAAGAGACCAGAGGCAGCACCACCAGGATACTGTGCCAGATGAGGTGCTGAGAGTGCCACCTAGGTTGTGACACTAGGAATAAATAGAAAGTGTTTAATTCTGGAAACATTTAGAGGCAACAAATTTCCTGGAATGGGCATGAGCTTTAGGCAGCCCTCATTTTCAACTTTAGAGAACTGAGCAAGTCCCCAAAGAAGTGAGAAAAAAATATTCAAAAAGCTGGCAAATCACTGTTGCCAAGGACAAACAAATTACATTTTTCTTTTGGCAAGTACTTTTTTTGGAAAGAAATACTAGAGGCAATGAAGAGAGAATGACAGCAGAAACAACCAACATTTCTCTGGTTATTTGCAGTTTCAAGAACATTTTTGCGTATCCAAGCATATTTGAAACAATGGAAAACAGAGCAAAAACAGAATCATTATGAAATATATTTTTATCGTAGATAAG